AATACTTTCACTATCTTTTCTTTTCAATTGAGGTAAAACATATATTCAACATATTCAAACCTTAAGACATTGTCAGTGAAATATCCCTGTCTACCACCACCCAGATCAGATATATAACATTTCCACAATCCAGAAGTTTCCCCTGTCTTTCCTGGACATTTCCCATCTTCCCAAGTATCTTAGTCACTTTCTTGTCACTGGGACGCCATGCACAACACCCACAGTTTAAAGGATTAGAGATTTATTTTGGCTCAAATTTCAGTCCATGGTCAGCCAGCTCCAAAGAAGAAATAGCACAGGAGAGGGGTGTAGTGGAGGAAAAGCTTCTCCTCTTCGCCTGTTACAGAGCCAGGGGGCTGAGAGAGGGAAGGGAGATATGCATGCACACCCAGTGACCCCACCTCCTAACAGCAAGTCAGCCATAGTGCCCCGATAATTCACTCACCTTCCAAAGTCCCCACCTATGAGTACAGAAAGATTTGGACATGTAGATATAAACCACAACATTTAGCCCTTGGGCTGGAAAAGGCTCATGGATATCTCTTTATGCAAAATGCAATTTAGTCCAGCTCTAAGAGTTGCCAAAGTCCTAATAACTTCAGCATTACTGCAAAGTCCATGTCCAAAGCCCAAAGTCTTCTCTGAGACTCAAAGCAGACTCTTATTTGTGAGCCTTGAAACTCAACAGGAAAAACATTAGACCCTATAGCTCTGTGTCCAGCATCTAAGGCAAAGATGTGAACTCCAAAGGCCTTGGGTAGCCCTACCCCAACAGCATTGCTAGTTGCAGCTGTCATGACATCTCTCTTGGGCTGGCTTTGGTCACTCCCTGTGGCTTTCTTCAGATGTTCCATATTTTTTGGGCTTCTCCACCTTCCTGGACTCTCTACCTCACTTTGGGTTTATTTTCATAGCTTCATGTAGTGCCTTCTCAAGGGCACATTGCCTGGCTTCCCAGGCCTTCTTCTGAAATCTGAGCAGAAGCCTCCATGACCTCACCACTCTTGCTTTCTGTATACCTGTAAAACCAGTGACATGTAGATGACACCAAGGTCTGCTGCCAGCCCAAGGAGTAGCCAGACCCCCTTGGATCATGGTTCCAGAGGCTGATGAGTGCCTGGCTAGGAACTGTGAAACAGACCCCAGGGAGCTGATTTCCTAGGTGGCCTTTCTTGAGTAGTGTGCCGTGGGAGCTCTCTTCTCAAAGCAGTCTTTCATCTTTGTACCCCTGAACTTGTGAAAGGTGAAGCCTTGCTAATTTCTCACATACCCTCAAGGTATCTTTCCAATTCTGATATATAAAGTACTTGGCTTCTTCTTCTTCTTTTTTTTGGTACCAGGGATCGAACTTGGGACCTTGCACTTGCGAGGCAGGCGGTGGAACCACTGAGCTAAATCTCCAGCCAATACTTGGCTTCTTTTTAATGTTAATGTCCTCAGCAACCAAGATCTCCTCTACCAAAACATTATAGGAGCTTCTTTCTTGTGGAAACTGAAAACTTTAAAAATCACTCAGCTGTGCCATTTGCTCTTGATTCTCAATGTAGAGCTGGTTAAAAGCCCCCATGTGACAGCTTGAATATTGGGCTGCCTTGAAATTTTCTCTGCCAGATTAGTCCATTGCTCTTAATCTCAGAATCCTGCAAAGTCTCAGGACATGAGAAAAATGTGAACAAATATTTTTCCAGAAAACACGCATGGCCCCAAATCCAACTGCCAATGCAGTCTTTGTTTCCAACTGAAACTTCCTGACCCTGACCTTTACCGTTTGCTTTTCTGTCAGCATTCTGGTCTTCAGATCTCTGACCAGAATCTTCCATCAAGCTCAGTTCACAGAATTTTAGGTCTTCTCTAGCTGGCATCTCCAAACGTTTCCAAACTCCCCCAGAGAACTAGTTTCAAAGGGTTCTGAACCATGTGATCAGGTAGCATTGCAGTAATGCTCTACTTCTCTGGTACCAAGATTTGACTTAATCACTTTCTCATTGCTGGGGCACAACACTTGACACCCACAACTTAAAAGAGGACAGGTTTATTTTGGTTCATGTTTCAGTTCATAGTTGGCAGGCTTCAGAGAAGAAACAGCATGGCAGAAGGACTTGGTGGAGGAAAAGCTGCTTCCTTCATGTGGCCTGGAAGCAGAGAGAGCAAAGAGAGATGGGAAGGGAGAGATGGCCTTCTGGGTAATACCTGCAGTGATCTGCCTCTTCTGATCAGACCCCACCTCCTAACAGCAAGTCAGCTATAGTATCTCCATCATACATTGACCTCTCAAAAGCCCCACCTATGAGCACTGAGGCTTTGCGGGGGGACATCTAGATATAAACCATTACACCACAGCAGCTGCTTTTCTGACTTCCCTAACCATAAAGGAGTGTCCCTTTGTTTACACTCCCCTCACACTGAGTTACACAGGACTTTGAATCTGGTTTCTGTCTCTTAAGATTATGTATGTGCAATGCATCCACAACATTGTGAATAGCAATAGCTAATTCTTTTTCTTTATTTTGTAGTATCCTATTGTCTGAATATACTATGACTGATTTATTTATTCTGCTCTAATGGGATCTAGGTTGCCTTCAGGTTTGGGCTATTATACTAAAGCTGCTAAGAATATTTGCATAAGTGTCATGTGGTGCCCATAAGCACTCATTTCTGTTGGGAGTGGAATTGCTGTGTAATAGAGTAAGTAAGTGTATGTTTAGCTTTTTAGACAGCCACTAAACAGTTTCCCAAGTAGCTATACTGATTTTTACTCTTTCCAGCAATAAATAGGAATGCCGATTGCTCTGCATTCTTGCCTGTACTTGGTACTGTCAGACTTTGTAATTGTATTCATTCTGGTGAGTGCATTGTGGCATTTCCTTGTGGCTTCAATTTGCACTGCTCTGCTGCCTAGTTATATTAAGAACTTTTTCATGTGCTTACTGGTGGCTTGGATTTCTTCTTTGGTGAAGAGGGTGATTGAGTCCTTTAAAACTTAGATTGTCTCTTAATTTTCTTCATTTTTAGGAACAGCCATTAATAGTATTTTATCCTTTAATTTATTAATAACCTGCCAAGGTGACTTAAGAACAGCAACGTTGGAAATCCCCTCCAGCGTACTCTTCGAGTTGTCCAGTTATCTTCAGCCATGTCTTTTGTTCCCTTCACTGTCCAAATGAGTGGTTTGCCTCATATCCTGCTCTTATTCTGTATTACAGCAGTGCTTTCTTCTCAACTTTCTTTTGATTGCAGGTGGTAGAAATGGATTCTGAGGGTTATGCCCCCAATGACTTAGTCATCTTCCATTAGGTCTCTAAGTACTTAAAGTTCTGTGTAGCTTCCCAACATTGGCATCCTGGGGACCAGGCTTTCAGCACGCCAACCCCTGGGATGTGGAAGCCACATCCACACCATAGTGGGTTGTGAGGATGCATCCAAGCCACATCTTTGCCTTTTGGGAGGCATGGATCAGGCACATAACCTTGTCAGAGATCTGTGCTGGGGGGTGAGGAGGGAGAGAAGGTGTTGGAACTTCTTTAGTTAGCTTCAGCCCATCACTCCTTGTACTAGGACATCTCCCCTGTCAACTCCAACACCTGCTCTTTAACTCTGCCAGGAATGGAGGACAGCTGTTCAGGACATTTCTGAGTCTGTGTTTTGGGTGTGAGTGGATGTGACCCACTTTGGGCAGTAGGAAGGAATTGTTTTACATCACAGCTGCCCAATACTTTGGCTTACCTGGGACACACTGAGTGAAGAAGAATTGTCTTGGGCAGTATAAAATCATTCAATATAGATACTATATATAAGTAACACTTTCCTTTATTTTATTATTATTATGTTTTTTGGTACCAGGGATCGAGCTCGGGTCCTTGCGCTTGCGCAGCAGGCGGCGAAACCACTGAGCTAAATCCCCGGCCCAACTTCCTTTATTTTTAAAATTTTAACTTATTAAATTATTTTTCTAAATATTATAACAAGCTGAAGTTTAATAATTAAATAAGAAAACCTACATGGCTACTTGATAAATGCCTGTCTTCACAGGCACACATAAATATAGGCAGGTTGACACAGTCTCATTAGGAACCACCATGTTGTACTTGGCAAGTTGCACAAGCTCTGAGGAAGTCTGATATATATAGGTTTTGAGTTTCAGTTGGACTGGCTGTGTGTGGCAGGCATAGGAGGCAGAGTGAGTGCTACCTGAGCCTCCCTTACATAGTGTTCAGTTGTGGCCTGCACAGTCTGAGCTCTAGAACTGCACAATCAAGGCATGAAAAATATCACTAAAAATGACACAGTAATGTTGGAACGGGGCGTGGTGACACTCACCTATAACCCCAGCACTCAGGAGGATTGTGGTTTTGTGGGGCTGCATAACTGGGTCTCCAGGGCTGCATGCCTTGATGCCAGCTGTGTTCTAATCCACTTCCTAGATACGGGTGTTCCCTGCCTTGTCTTTACACCATCCCCTGAATCAGAAGAGGGGAGAAACAAGTTTGGTGGGTCCAAGGATGTTAGAGCTCCTGTAAGCTAAAACCCTGTGCAGCAGCATGGTAGAGGCTACTAGAGGTGGCATCTCTGTCGAAGAGTTAGCTGGTCTGTTTTGAAACAATTCTAGGATCAAGAGATAGAGGGAGGGGAAGAGGATCTCTTCCTTTTTACCTTTGGTAATGAAGGGAGTTTTCTCTTATCATTCTTTCCCTCTGAACTGCTACTCAGAGGCCCCACATGACAGGAAGTGGTGAGCTAGCAGGTAAGGAAGGAAAAGGAAAGGCTCCATGTGGTGTGCATGAGTGCGTGCGTGTGCATGTGTATGTGTGTATGCTTTTCCTCCCCCTCCTCTACAACCACCTCCAACCTGGCATGTATGCTGAATTAAATGGCCCCAGAAGGCTATTTACAGTCCCCTTACCATTCCTAGAGATGTATCATGATTTTATGTGTGCTCTGTGGTGTCTGGCATTTATAATTGTGGGACTGGCTTGGATAAGGATCTCTTTTTCCATTTGTAGGCTGGTTATGATGGTGAGAGTATTGGAAACTGCCCATTTTCTCAGCGTCTCTTTATGATTCTCTGGCTAAAGGGTGTTATATTTAATGTCACAACCGTGGATCTGAAAAGGTAAGACAGGCTTTTGCAGTATTGAAACAACTGGACCTACGTCCCTGCATAGACCTACACATGCACGTACACACACATGGACACACACGTACAGACCCCTACTGCCCGTACACAATATCATGGGCATATCTAGTGGTCAGGAGCCTGAAGTGAAGCCCCAGTGTGGGCCAAGCAGCAAAGTCACAGGAGCGGATATCCTGTAGTCAGGAGGAGGAGTTGGTGTCCATAAGGAACTTGCTATCCCAGTTACAGGTCAGCTGTGAGCCTTTCAAAAACCCATCTGAGCACTGTTTCTGGCTGGTAACACTACGAGAGTTACCATTTTCACATCTATATGCACAAATGGAAGCACAAAAACATGAATCCAACTCATGACTTGTTAATGCACATCTTTACTTTTATCACAAGTAAGCCATTTTGCAAACCACAGTCTACTTTGACATTCTCAAGGGCTGTGTCTGTATGGGGGAGGACACTGCTAAGCTTTGGGATCGAATCTAAATCCTAGAAGCTGTCCTCAAAGACTGCTGTCCTCTCCTACCCAGGAAGCCCCTGGACCTGCAAAACCTGGCTCCTGGAGCAAACCCGCCTTTTATGACTTTTGATGGTGAAGTCAAGACGGATGTGAATAAGATTGAGGAGTTCTTAGAGGAGAAGTTAGCACCCCCAAGGTAGGCCTTCTGACTCCAGGGTGCACAACTTGGTTGGTACCTTCAGCTCCGCAAACAGACCATTCTGAAGTGCTTGGCTACGCATTTGGTTTCCTAGGGCCTCAGTGCTTCCTGCCTTTGTTGTTCCCTGCGGTGTGACACAGAAAGCCAGGGCCAGGGTGGGAGCCTTGTGTGAAGGTGGTCTGGCCTTCCCTGCCATGCGCTTGTGGTCTGTCCGATAGGGTGGGAAGGCGGGAGCATGGAGGAGGAGCCGATGGCCTGTGGGAAGGTCAGGGTACATGCCAGGGTGAAGCCTCATGGGCTGTGGGAGCTGGAAGGACCCTTCTAAACCATTGCCTTCATTAAAACAGGGAAGGAATTATGTATGACCTGGTGCCCTGGGGTCCCGGGCCTAGTCATCAACAAAACAAAATCTCTAAGTCCAGTGGAGTTCTCCCAAATCACATTCACTCCCAACCTTGAAGAATAAAGAATAGGAAAATAATAAAGAGGAGGTTTTCATTTTTACATCTGCCCAGAGAAAGATAGTTTTCCCCATGGTATTGACCTAACTCAAACACTGCTTATCTGTGATCCTCCAACTTTGAACTTTTCAAGGTACCCTAAGCTGGGGACCCAACACCCTGAATCTAACTCTGCAGGAAATGATGTGTTTGCCAAATTCTCAGCATTTATTAAAAACACCAAGAAGGATGCACATGAGAGTGAGTACCTCCCACCTCCTTGTTTTTGGTTTCTACATGGACTTCCGTATGGCTGGTTATAAGATCTCAGGAATTCAGAGGGAGTAGAGATAAGAGCCTAGAAATTAGGGGTAAAATACCTTCGACTTGAATCCGCACATGACTTCAAGACAATGAGCCCTTCCAGAAGTTGGAAATCCAGAAAACAACACTTGGGGAAAAATAACCACCACCCAGGTATTTCCAGATGTACAGTGAGAGTTTTCAAAGATGCTTCTACCCATGCGGATCTCATTTTAAGTTTCCATAAATATTTTTTTGAAGAAATAGAAGAGTTCTAGAAGTTGCAGTGCTGTGTAGACAGCAGAGCAATGCTCCAGGAAGTGAGCCCTTATTCAGATCTTCTGGCTCCACAGCCTTTGTTCCCTATACGTGCCACGCGGTGGACTCATCTCAGGATAGAAGGATATGGAGCTCCTTCCTTTACTGCTAGAGAAAAGGGGCACTAACTGGCATGGGCTATCTTGGTAACTTCTCGCCTTTCTGTGTTAGTTTATGAAAAGAACCTGTTACGGGCCCTGAAGAAGCTGGATAATTACTTAAACAGCCTTCTGCCCGATGAAATAGACACCAACAGCACAGAGGATGTCACTGTTTCGGGCAGGAAGTTCCTGGACGGGGATGAGCTCACACTGGCCGACTGTAACCTCTTACCCAAGCTCCACATTATTAAGGTTTGTCTTTCTTCCTGACACCTGTGCTGAATGCATGAATGAGGCTTTGTTTTATTTTGTTTTGACTTGTGTTTGAGCCAGACATTTAAACAATCTGAAATGTAGGCTCTTGAATTAAAAACTAGCTCATTTCTGTGTGAGGCAGACAAGCCCCAAGTTTCAGATACTAGGAGTGATGACTCCAGAGGTTCTCATGAAATACTTGTGAACCTGACCCTGTCCCTCTGTCCTCACTACTCTTTTTCTCAGCCTGACCTCAAAAGCCTTGAGAAAAGTGGCATGAAAGCAACTTGAGGAAATTTATCGGCTTCTTTGGTATCGAACACTTGAGGCTTGGAGATGTTGTGTGGGTTTTCAGTCTATTAAAATGGGAACTCAGTCCCTTGTTGAGAACTGCAGGGATGAACGTCCCTTTCTAGGGATGGCATTCCCAGGCGATGGCCTGGCACTGTCTCCCAGCAGTGCTCAGCCTCTTTATCAGTTATGGATGTCAGTTGTTTTTGTCTTCGTCCCTGTTGCTATGTCCTTGGTAGCCTCAGATACCACAGGAAGAAGCCCATGCCTTGTTCTGGCTCATCTTGATGATTAAAAACCCAACCAAGTTCTAAGCTACATCCTTGGTGTAAGAGCAGGGGTGACAGGAGAGACACCGAAAATACAATTCAAGGACTGGGTGTTCTAATGGAACATTTAATTGGCCTTTTAAAAATTGCACATCAGTGTCTGCGTACTCTCATTCAGTGTGGTACAGTTCTCAATAACCATGATATGCAACCTCTCTAGATGCTCAACAGAAGAATGGATAAAGAAAATGTGCTACACATGCACAATGAGTATTATTTAGCCATAATGCAGGACAAAATTATGTCATTTACAGGAAAATGGATAGAACTGGAGATAATCGTGTTAAGCCAAATAAGGTAGACTCAGAAATACAAGGATCATGTATTCTTCCTTATATGTGGAATCTGAAAAAGAGGACATGAAAGTAGAAGGGAGATAATTTCTAGAAAATAAGAAGGGAACAGGGGAAAGGGGGAGGCAGGCATAAAGGAGGGTAAAGGGGGGAAGAATGTGATCAAAATATATTATGCAAATTGAAACCCAATATTTTATAAAATTAATAGCCACTAATAAATACATATCTTTTACAAAAGAAATTCCACTAGTCTGTGGTGCTGTTACTCCCATTGTCAGCCACTCCTGGTTTCTCACGCATTGCTCTTTCTGCATTTCTTCTTTATACCCTCTTCCCCTCTCCATCCTGGCATCGCTTGTGTCTCTTCCCCACTGTGCTTGAGAGATGCCAGTGGAAATGCAAGCCTTTGGGATGCTGCCAGTGCCTCCAGTGAATATCTTTTCAGCAGCTTTGCCGGTACCCTGACAGCCAAGATTTAATGAAAGGATCTCAACTCCTCAAAATCTGCTGAATTTGGGAGGCATCTTCCAACAGGATAGTCATGTCAGTGTGTTTTGGTTTAATCTCTTTCCTTGAGTGCTTTTGTCTTTGCTGTGACCAGTGGAGCAGTGTGGAGGTGCATGGAGGTTGAGGGAGAGCAAGAGAAATGTCCCCCAGCTGTATAGCACTGATTGCCACTTGTTTAGTGCCTATGAAAAGACCATTCTGCATGTCAGTAGAAGGAGTAAGTTTCAGAGTATGATGCCACAGTCCATGCTGCCAGTATAAGACCAAGCAGCAAAATCTGGAGAGCCATTTAGCATTCCAGATACCTAAAAGCTTAATGATCATCCAGGATGGAGTACTTCTTTTTCTTCCCTTAAATTCTTTTATTGGTACATTTTAGGTATACAATACATTTACATTTATCATTGGGTGCTTGTACCTGTACATGATGAATCTTGGTTCTTATTTTTTCCCCATTACCTGTGCACCCTTCACCCCCTCCACCCTTCTCTATTTACGAAGACTTTGTTTCCATTTTTTCCTTTTCTCATGATTTTCCTTTCCCTTCTTTCCTCTCCCCTTCCCATCCCACTTCCTCCTACCCCTTTGGACCTTTTCTTCCTATTTCAAATTATCAATTATTCATTTTAATCCTTATTTACACTTTCAGTTTCTCACACCAGAGAAACTATTCGGTATTTACACATGTGTGTCCTATTTATTTCACTTAAGAGGATGGCCTCAATATGCATTCATTTAGCTATAAATATCTCTAGTTTGTCATTCTTTATGGCTGAGTAGTACTCCATTTTACTTTTTAAAAACCCACATCTTTATCCAGTTTCCAGTTGATGGGCACTTGGGCTGTTTCCAAGCTTTAGCTATTACAAACTGTGCTGCTATAAACATGGGTGCACATATATCTCTGTGGTATAATTCTTTTAATTCTTTTGAGAAGATACCCAGCAGGGAAATAGCTGGGTCAAATGGAACCTCTAGTCAGGATGGAGTACTTTTGAAATGAAATGAGAGCCAATCCAATGGAATATGGTAAAAGATGAGAGAGTGAAGGGATCTATAATTTCTTTCTCTTCCTAAAACTCAGGAAAAAGCAATAGAAAAAATAGAGCTTTAGCTTCATCTTTCATAAAATTACAAAGAAATGACAGATCAACAACCTGAGGACAGAGAAACTGCCTCCAGTGTGAGCTACCATGGGGCCAGTGCACATTTCTTTACATCTTTAGCAATCCATGGAGTTCTCAAAAAGTAAATAACGCACCATGTTCATAGCAGCACAGTTTGTAATAGCTAAAACTTGGAAGCAGCCCAAATGCCCATCGACTGGAGACTGAATAAAGAAATGTTTTTTTAAAATAAAATGGAGTACTAGTCAGCCATAAAAAATGAGAAATTAGAGACATTTATAGCTAAATGGATGCACATTGAGGCGATACTCTTAAGTGAAATAAATAGGACACACATGTGTAAATACCAAATAGTTTCTCTGGTGTGAGAAACTGAAAGTGTAAATAAGGACTAAAAGGTATAATAGATAATGTGAACTAGGAAGAAAAGGGGCAAAGGGGAAGTGGGAGGGGTAGGGGAAAGGAAAGAAGGGAATGGAATTAATATGAGAAAATGGAAAAATGGAAAGAAAGTCTTTGTAAATAGGGAGGACTGGAGGGGTTGAAGGGAGGGCAGGGGAAGGGTGAAAAATAAGAACCAAGAGAGATTATGTAAAGGTGCAAATTTCCAATGATGAATGTCATTATATTGTATACCTAAAATGTACCAATAAAAGGATATGCAAATATTAAAAAAAAGTAAATAACACAATCTTGAAATGGCCAACCCAAATTTTGTTATTTGAGGACTAGGACCTGCAGTGAGCTATGAAGGGACCAGGGAACATCCCCATAGAGGAGATTTTTTTAGAGACACAGAGTTTGGGGGGCACAGAGATGCCATCGTTATACTCTGTGACCCAGTCCCTCATCTAAAGGTACAAAAGTACACTCTGGAGGGGAGAGGGCGTGAGGAGAGAAGGGAAGTGTCATTCTGTTTCATGGCTGCTGAACAGGAAACAGAAACAAGCTCCCAACCAGTCAAGGGAGAGACTGCAAACTGCCCAAGCTTCATTTTGGGCCATGGTCATCTTCTGCCTGATCTGTGAGCCTTGGAGTGGAGGATGCCTTAAGCCTAACCTAACCCTACCTTTAACTAAATGTGTCCTAGGTCAGAGCAGACAGTAATGTTAGGTGAGTGAGTGCTTCAGTGTTAATATCCAAATTAGCCTGGCACCTCCCTGTTTCACTCTCTTTCCCCCCTATATCTTTTTGTTTTGTGGTGCTGGGGATAAAATTCCAGGCCTTACACATGCTAGGCAAGTGTGCTACCATGGACCCATATTTCTAGCTCTTTCACACTATTTTAAAGCAAATCATAGGCCAAATATGTCTTCTTTATTAAAAGATGACTAATAACCAGAAAAAAATCAAAGTGGGTCCTCTGTGTAGACAGGTATAATGAAAGTGGGGAGAGGAAAAAGGATAAGATACAGAAGAAATACAAAGAAAAAGACAAATGAGAAGTGTATATGTGATGGAGATCTGTTCCTGTCGATTAAAGAACATCCCAGAGTTTTCTACAACCTGAAGAAATGAAAGAGAACCTGGACCTTTTCAGAAAAAGCTCAAAAACAAATACAAGATTTTGAAAAGCATAGTACCACAAAGCAGTGGAAATCAGTCTGGCAGAGCTTAAAAACAAAAGTAAAGACAAATGAAATAATTGCAGAAATAAAAGTTCTACTAGAAGTAGAAAGAAACACAGAAAAGATCATGGAGAAACTAGTCAGAGATTTGGAGATTAGGCCTGAAAAAGCATCCAAAATAGAGAAGAACTGAAGAGATATGGACTCTGAAAGAGATTCCAGGAAACAGAATAGGAAAGGAAATTTTTTTAAAAAAAGAAAGCTTGAAAGGGAAAAGTATTTTGATAAAGAAGGACCCGAACCTCTGATTTAACTAACATGGCATGTTTAGGAACAATCAACACTGAAGACATAGTCGATACTTTATTGCACTTCAATGAGATCAGGTGTGTTCAGGGCGGTATGGCCGTAGACTTTACTGAGCCTTGAGAATAAAAAAGAATCCTTTGGCCATTGTATTAGCCCATTTTCCATTACTATAAGGAAATACTTGAGGGTAGGTAATAGCTGAGGAAAAGAAGCTTATTTAGCCACAGTTTTGCAGGGTCAAGGGCAGGATGTGGTATTAGTTTAACTCCCATGGCAGTTGGCAACCTAGTGGTGGCAGTGTGTGTGTGGGGAAAATCATGGGCTGGAAGGCAGTGAGCAGGGTGGGGCTGACGCTGCTCTACTTGAGAAAACTAACTATAGTCCCCAGAGAACTACCTTAGTCTCTCCCAAGGGCAATGCCCCCAATGACCTCCCATTAGGCCTTGCCTTTTTAAGGTCCCTCCACTGAGGCCCACACTTCTGACACATGAATTTTGTGGGGACACACTCAAACCATATCCAAACCACAGGAGACATCCAGACAATAATAATCATAGCAACAACAATGACACTAATAATAATAAGTGGTAAAATCACCAATAGAGGGGATTGATTCAAACTGGCCTTAGGTGTCTTCACGATATTAAAATTCAAAAAAATAGTGGGTTAACATCTACAGAAAGTTAAAGGAAAGGATATATGATGTAACAATTTTACATGTTACAGACTATAGCCTCTACCGAGATACCTAGTCTCAGTAGAGTCAGCACATTAAAAAAACAAAAAAATTGCTGTATGGTGAAACAATACAGTGATAATCAAAATAAGAATCTAGGACCAGAGAAATCACATGGTACAAAAGGACAGAGAATGTATTTAAGCCTAATTTAGTATTAAGACCAAATATTATAGGGACAGAAGAATCAGAATATGAGGTATGATCAAAAAATACGGAGTGTGTTTAAATAAAAACAAAATTATTACAGTAAAAGACACATTGCCATGAATCCCGTTCAGAATCCTCTCCCTCACTTCAAACACACTTGTCCCCTTTCTGAAGCAGTTCTGGCAGATGGCATCTCCCCTTCACTTTGGATTCAATTATGCTATCATTCTTGCCACTCCCTGAAGCAGTTCCAAAGTCCTCTTTTGTGAGCATCTTTAGCTGTGCTGCCACGGATGCCTTGATATCTTGAATTGATTCAAAATGTTTACCTTTCATGGTCATTTTGACTCTAGGGAAGAGCCAGAGCCAGCGAATAAGGCGATCCGGACATGGTAATGTTTTCATGAGCCTGCCTTCCTTTGGGTGGAATTCAGCAGCATCCATTGTATTTTTGATTACACCTTGTAAAGACATGAAAGAGGACTCCCAGAGCTGCTTCAGAGAGGGGATAAATGTGTTTGAAGTGAAGGGAAGGAGTTTGAGGGGGATTAATGGCAATGTGTTTTTACTATAATGAATTTTTAAAATTTAAATATTCTTGATTACTCCTTCTAAAATAACCCTGGATGTTGTTATAACTGTTGGTAGAGGGATCCGGGAGAAGAAATGTAAAGGAGCGTAGATGCACGAATTTCCTCATCTGGCACCATGGGAACAATAGATAACATCCAAAATTGATAAATCAAGAAATAGAGAATTCTTCTTATTTTAAATTATAAAGGAAATCACTGAAAAAGTTAAGATAAACCTTCTAAGTTACCAGGAAGGGAAACAAACACATGCATGCACACATATGCACACAGAAAGACAGAAAACCAAGTAAATATTAAGTTAAAAAAATATAATGTAAGAACAAGATTCTATCTATAAGAGGAATATATTTAACAGATGTACTTAGAAATGTTCAGATAAAAAGACTGACAAAAGCAAACAAGAAAAATGTAGACAAAAGATCCGCATTAATAAATTGGAATTTAGAGAAAAGTTGTGAAGCCATTTTGGAGGCTTTCTGAAAATCTTTGGGTCCTAATTTGCTGCCAGGCTGCCTCGGTGGCTATGGGTCTCCAAAACCTGAGAAACAAGTCCTGAAGACCTCATTTGTGATGAATCCAGTGTTCACTTCATGCAGACATCCCAGGGGACAGGGGACAGGGGTGACAAAGCAGAACTGGCCTTGGTAGCCATGGGTCCCTGTTATAGGTTTAATTGTGCCTTTCTGCACCCCAAATTTGTATGTGGAGGTCCTATCCCATAACCCAGAGTGTGACCTCATTTGAAAACAGAGCCTCTGCAAATGCAGATCGTTAAGATGAAGTGAAAAAGGGGGGAGTCTGACACCCAGATGGCCATGCAGGGAAAGGGCCATGGAAGACCAGTGTTAAGCTTCTGGAAACCACAGAACTGCAAGAAGCCAGGAGAGAGGCTGGACATATACTTCCTGGGTGCCTTATCAGGAAGCAGGGCACTGCTGACATCTTGGTTCTGAACTTCCGGCTTCCGGGACTGTGAGAGAATCCATTTCTTTTGTTCTAAGGCATCCTGTTGGGGATTCTTCATTACAGCAGCCTGAGCAAACTGATATAATCATGCACCCTCCTTTGTGACCAGTTCCCCAACTGCTGGGGAGTAGTTCTTACACCTGCTGAGGTTCTCACGAAGTTCACCTTCAGTCGCCCTTCCCTTACATCCACTGTCTCTGCCAGGGTGAGGGATGGGCCCGTCTGCTTCACGAGTCTGTCCTCTCAATGGGGTAGGGCCACAATCAAATGATTATCAGTGGTGGGATGATGGAGGTCTGTGGGGGTAATGGGCACACATACTCAGGACTGCAGGAAGTGAGGCTCAGCAAGCAGGAAAAACTTTACAGTGATCCCGGCACAATCTACACTGAAGATTCATTATGAATCTTTATGCATTGTATACATAGTAGCATTAAAGATAATTGATGAAAAGACAACAGCAGGAAACACAAGTAGAACTCCACTGAGTACAGAGGACATTTGTGTCAGTGAGTCTCAGGGATCATTTGGGGTAACTTGGTGAGCAGGACTGTGTGGAGTTACTGCTTTGAGTCCAGTAACTTTATCACTTTCCCTGTCCCCATGATGCCTCCTATGCAAAGTCAAAAATGTCACGATGGGTAGACCAGATGACTACAGGATGACATCAGGAGTGAGCTATGTGCCCCAAAAGAATGGATTGTTTGATATGATGGCCTACGTTAGTGGATTTTACCTTTACTGATCATTTCCTCTTCGTTTTCAGATTGTGGCCAAGAAATACAGAGATTTTGAGTTTCCTCCTGAAATGACTGGCATCTGGAGATACTTGGACAATGCTTATGCTAGGGATGAATTCACAAATACGTGTCCAGCTGACCGGGAGATTGAACATGCGTATTCAGATGTTGCCAAAAGGATGAAGTGAACCAGGGGTGCTTTCTGCTTTATTTCTCAGATAAATGAGCTGGGCTTCAAGAAGAGTGTGTTCCATGCATCTCCCCCAAAGCCAACCATCTTTTGCAAAATAATGCCAATTTGTCAACTCAGCCAGTATCTGTCTTTATACACGCCAGTTGCCTACTGTATGTAAATTAAGTTTTTGACATTCACTGACATCATAATCTATGATATTCAGGGCATGTGTTTTGCAGTTTAAGTTTCAAAGCCAATTAGGTTTGGGTTTAATTCCTTCCATTTTTAAAAAACTTGGCCTGTCTTTGATAGTTTTCATAATCACACATAGACTGTTTTCTCCTCTTAAATATTAACTTACTTTTTTTTCAAAATGAAAGCACTATTTTTATAATTATAAAATGTTTTGTGCCTGTTTTAAAATGGTATCAGAGAGAGAAGGAAGCAAAAAAAATAACCTACAATTTTTCCCACATGTTTACTGATAATTTATTGGTAAACATCTTCCAAATCTTCAGTCTTTTGTGTGTGCACAAACATAATTGCACTATGCAAATTTCATTCATCTATTCTATTGTTTCTTTAAAGGACTGGTGAGGGGACCTCTTGGTGATGCCTTGATATCCATTCAAAGAGGATCTTAAACGAAGAAACGTGTTCAGCCCTACACATCAGAGGTTACTGTAGACATTTTTAAAGAGGTGGGGAAGTGTAGAGTGGCAGAGCCCTGGGAACCAGCAGGAGTGCGGTGGGATGAACTCAGCCACCTGGTCACCATCTTCAAGATGCCTCTGCCCCTGGGTCCAGGAAAGGTAGTGCAGGAGGGACTCATCTGTGCCTTTGGTGCCCACTTCCTCTCCAGTGCCTTCTCTTTTCCCATCCTTCTCGCGAAGTCTGTGCCTCAAATGGGACCCTTCCTATCACTTGCAACTTGGAGAACCCCCTGCCTTGGGTTGAAATGTGAACCATGCACACTTTGGTTCCTTCTCATGGCTGCTCTCACTGAGATCCAGCCTTGCTCTTCCTCTATGATGATGATCATGATATCATGGGGCTTGCCCAGTCCTCACTGCTGCTTTGCTCTTTTATCTCTTTTAGTGGTCAGGCTGGAAAAACCCAGGGAGATTAAATTTGTGGTGACTATCTTGGGCAATTCTGGTAAATGGTCCAGTGAGGGCAGAAGTGGAAAAGATTGACTCAAAGAGTTTTTGGTCTATATGTGGCTTTCCCTCCTCCAGCCCTCCTCCAACCCACATGCATCACATCTGTGTGGGCCGGATGCTGGGCTCCAGCCCCAGACCTGGAGAAGAGGTGAGGCAGCTTAGACACTCATCAAGACCTCACAGGTCTGTCCTTGACATTCACAGGCATCTCACAGAAAACTTGCCTGTAAAGTTGATTGAAGCTAAAATGTTCATTCTCTATGCACACATCTGCTCTATGGGTGATTCATTTGAAAGGGAGTAAAACACGTTCATGGCAACAACTCTGGAATTTGATGAAAATGCCTTATAAGGAAACAAAATCTTGAATATAGTGCCTACTTTCTTTCCCTGCTTACTAGATGCCACAGTTTTATGCCAGCAGCCTGCTTTCTTCGTCAACCACACAGGTTTGGAGGTGTTTTCTATCATGTCTCACTGTGGTCCACGTTGTCACATATCTGTTTAAGAGTCAGATGTTTAAATTTCATTTCATAATGTTACATTCAAACTTGATAAGTGAGTAGACTACCAGATGTTACTAGTGCTAACTTTGTATTTATAGATGTTAAAATGATCAGAACACCTGTGTGCCTTAAAAATTAAACAAACTATGAAAACATTTAAATGGACCCAATCTTTCTCTCTCTCCATTTAAGCTTTGAGAAAAAAAAAAAAACCTTTATGGGGTTAAAAGAAGCCCTTCTTTTAACAAGGCAATAGAAAATGTGAACCAGAGATTATCAGTATTTGAATTAGAGTTAATCCGTGTTTGAATTATGAATCACAGAACTTTAATGGAAGGTTAAAGAGGCCTGGGCAGACTCATGTGACCTGCCCTTGTCCAGGGGACTGAGATAGAGGCCCTGCAGTCTGCTTCGCTGTTACCCGAAGTTCAGGACGGTTTTCCCCAGCCCTGCCTCTGGTTGCCAGTCCCCACCCTCAGCCCCCAAGCCCCGCCCGCAGCTTCTTCCCACCCCTCCCCGCTAAAAAGCTGCATCAATGTGGGGAGGTGAAAAATATCCCAAGGCTGTTCTGCTGGTTTAAAATCTTTATTCAAGAATGGTTTTAAAACACAAGGAACAAATATTTGTTCTTCAAAGCACACTATAGAGAATGCAAATATGGAGAGAGACCAATCTCTCTCTGGAGGCTGTGTAAAAAGTTTGGGGATGGAGAGGATTCCATTCTGCCTTCTAATTGCCCAGGATGCCTGATAACTAAAAAAATTAACAATGACAATGGTAATAACCTCCCCTTTGACCACACACCCTCCAGTGGCAGGCTGGAAAAGAACACATGAGCATCCCAGTTATGCTTTCTGGATCCTACCCAGCTAATGGAGAGAAGAATTCAGCCCGGGAACAGGCTTTCAGAGAGCAGAGGTCTCCACTGATAATTTCCTGTCTGCAGGTCTATCTCTGGGAGTTGTAGGCTGTCATTCCCCTGATGAACAGACTCAGAGTGCTCACATACACCCCACACGTTCTCACACACACGCTTATGACACTCACAAACACACAGGCACATCTACACACATATACATATGCATGCACACATGCATGCTCCTCACTGGGTTGAGCTCGGGGTTCCCTCTCATTATGCTCCAACAGTGACCAGTCTTTCACTTCATTCCCCCACCCCTCAGTCCTCAGCTTCATAATTAGACTTTGGAAGAATTCTAGAGGGGTGGCTTTTATTTAGTTTTTTAAAGAAGAAAATCCCAACTTTTCATTTTACAGTTAAGAGAACCAAAGTGTGCTTTAATCCAAGAACATATAATTCTCTAAACATAAAATACATCCAATGGATAAATTAGGTCATATTTGTTCACATTACCAAATGACTTCTGTCCCTACGGTGATTTAATTTTGAACTCTTCTATTCAGCCAATTTCCCATTTAAACTTTGAATTTTGGTTTAATGTGTTACCTTTTACTTCAGAGCATGGTCCCTGGTCACAGAGGGACTGACTGCACTGTTCACTGGGGCACTGTGGGTCCAGGTCACCAGAGATTTGCTGCTCTGTGTGTCCAGGGACCCAGCAGTGGCAGTACCTGCCACTGTAGCTTTGATTTAGCAAAGTCATTTTTCCTATTTCAGGGTTCCAGCTGAGTCTTTGATGACTCTTGCCTCAAAGTAGGGTATTTAGTCAGGGAGAGTTCAAAGCTGTCATTATTTGCCCCTGAGCTGGTGGAGGTGAAGTCATGGTCCAGGAGCAACTGTGTTCAGAAGCATGGAACCACATACATGGGAGGTGGAAGCCATCTATTCAGGGAGTAAAATTGGGGTGAGCTACCAGTAAGATCTTCTCCCACATGATGTTCCTTTCACCTTTTATAGGCGCTGCCATCTACTGTCTCTACTGAACATGCCTTGGGCCATTTCAGCCAAACCTAACAATCCTCTCAAAGAGAGGTAATTTTCCTTGACTACACCTCCTGCTCTCAACTCTTCCGTGACCCTCTTCAGTAGGGGTCCATGATCTATTCCTGGTGAGAAGACAAGAACAGTGGCCCACCCATTGACAGGAGCTGCTGGATTGCTGGGCTCCCTGCAAAGCCATTATTCCAAGTGGCGAATGCTTGTACATCTAGGTTGGGCCCCTTTCCGAAGCTCTGACCTTTTATAATGCAGAACCAATACTTTCTGGAGCTTGGTAAGATCCTTCTAATCTTTGGGATCCACTCAGGGTCCAGAATACCATGGAATAATCCCAGGCCCCAGAAGGAGAGGGACAATTTGTGCTCAGGATGCTCCTTGGTTTTGTAACAGCAAGTGGTTTGGTTTGCTTATTCACTTTCCCTTTCTGGTATCAAATACTAACAAACTATTCACATTAATGCCCTCTTCCCTAGAATGAGTTTGAAACAGGTTTCACGTATAAGAAAACAAAAAAGAAACAACAGCAAGATCTTCAGACACAAAAGGTTAAATATTGCATGGTTTCTCTTATAGGAGAAATCCAAAGTATAAGTAACTCTATGAGTAAAATAAAAATAGATGATAGGAAACAAGAAGACCTTTGGGGGATGACAAAGGGATCTAGGGATGGAGGGATAAGAAAGGAAGGGAAGAGGAAAGGGAAACAAAAAGGACTAAGATGCAAAATGTATATGTACCAACTCCCACCATGAATGTATTCATTGTGTATCACAAACACACAGCACTCATAAAAACCATCTCCAGAAGATATAGGGTCCTAAATCTCCCCTGCCCCAAAACTCTGACATGTTTGAATGATCATTTAACACCTCAGCCTCCCTCTTTTCATCTGGGAAATGGGAACACGGGGGTGGTGTTTTTAGAGCTTTTCTCCAAAATCTGCAACATAGCTGGCTTTATGCAAATGAATTTCTCTGGTATTTACTCTTCTTACTGAGTAATAGTCCTAAATATAAGTTGTTAAAATGGATGGGGAGTGACTTCATAAGCTTGTAAGGAGATGGAATGCAGTTACACTCTAAACTCCTGATTCCCTACAACAAAACATCCTCTTTGGTATGGTGGTCCCTGACCATTCAGCTGTCCCCTTTGGTCAGTATCTGTGGGCTGTCCAGGTGTCCAGAGCTGGTCCAGGTGTCTGTCAGGTACACTGAGCTTGGCAGCACCATGATGGACTAACAGCTTTCTCCAGGACCCCATTCATTTGGCTTGGATACACCATTTTCACTTGTACAATATTTAACTGAAACCCTGAGAAATGGAAAAGCAGATTAAGTGTGTGATGTTCCTAAAGCGAGTCCGGTGCACCCAGGCAAGTTTCTCTTTTCCACCACTAGGTGGCGCTTCCTCCCCTCCCCCCGCCCCCGACAAAGCCAGGTGGACCTCACTCCGCCATCTGCTGCAATGGACTATAGAAAATAGAACTTAAAGTGGTCACTGCTGTCTTAGTCACTTTCTTCATCACTGAGATACAATACCTGACACCCACATGTTAAAAGAGGGGCGTAGGGAGGAAGAGCTGCTCATATCACAGTAGTCAGGAAGGAGAGAGACAAAAAGAGAGAGAGACTGATTTGCCCTTTCAAGTCACCCCCCTCCCAGTGACCTGCCTTTTCCAACTAGACCCCATTTCTCAACAGCAGGACAGTTATAGCACCCCTATATTTCAGTTGCCCTCTAAATACATGAAGCTTTTGAGGCCATCTTAGATCTAAACCCTAACAGCTGGGTTGACTCATCTGGTCTGATACAGAATCAGCCTGAGAACTTCATCCAAACCCAGCTGAGCCCCCTGGGTGTCAGCCTGGGTGACTCACACATCAAAGGGTAGCCTTGCAGGATCAGAGAAGCAAAGTGTGAAATAACCCAGCAGGTCTTAGCCCCGGCTACCAGGAAGATCACAGCCATGTGTTGGGTTGTATTGCTGATGTGCTGAACGATATCAATGAAAGGGAGATCCTGCTCTGTCCTAGGACTGTCTGTCTTGCCATGGAAGCCCCTTCAAGGACAAGAAGCTCCTTATCACACTGACATGAACACAACTCACTCCTGACCCATTTTCTGCTTGCCAAAGAAGAAAGGGGTGTGTATATGGTGGTGGTGGGGTGGATGGACTCTGCATCATAGATTTCAGGAATTGAAAGGAGCCACTGGGTTGGTCCATGCATCATGAGAAAGGAGGCACACACTGTGGGTCTGAGAAGGGGAACCAGGCTCCTGCTGATGGGGGGACAGATGTATTATTGGACACTCGTGGGTCTGGAGCCCAGTCCCTTTCCCTGACTGAAGTGTTCCTGATTCTATTGCCAGTGAGCAAAGCCATGCGTTTGATTGCCTCCCATGACTATATTAAAAGCAGTCAGGCAGCTGGACTTTGGGTCCTTCTGATCAGCCAAGCCACAGTCCTTGGACTACCATCCCGTTCACAGCTCAGCTACTTCGCTGACTTGAGAGGAGAGAGCTGATGACTGTATTGTGACCATCTGTGGTTGTGTTGTTAAAATGACATGCTCAGATTCTGTCACCAAAGCCCACCTGTTTGCTGGCTCCTGCAGGGCTGACTTCTTGAATGTGTTCTTGGTGAAGAAGGGCACCGCGATACCTCTCCTTACCCCAAAGGCAGCTTCATCACAGCCCAGACAAGGTAGCGTAGACAGGAACCGTGTGTGCACATTTTCCTATCCAGGAAACAAATGAACTAGCTAAACTAAACAAAAAAGAGGCAGATTTAGGAAGTTCCAGGAACAAGACTTGAAGTAAGTGTGTGTGTGTGTGTGTGTGTGTGTGTGTGTGCATGTAGGAGAAGGAGAGAGAAAGAGGGGAAAGAGATTCTGTGGCAGGAGTGGAGAAGTTTGTGGCATTTGCCACAGGTGTGCAACCCAGTGGGTTTTGGGGGAAATTATCACTTGCCTTGGGTGGGTTTTGTGTAGAAGAGGAGACCAGAGGCCTCCAGACTTACCTGTGCCTCTGGGTAGTACTGCTCAGCCAGGCCTTCCCTTGTCATTTTATGTGTCCAAGTATTTAAAATGCATGGAGCAGTCCTCTTATTAGTTGGACATTTTCTTGAAAGTGTGGGGTGAATTAAAGTAAAAGAAAACTACGAGTTTTTTGTTTGTTTGGGGGATATTGGGAACTGAGCCCAAGGCTTTTGCTTTGAGCCGCACCTCAGCCCTGTTTCATTTT